ATATGGTTCTGAATGTGTCTCAAAATACAGGATTGCGCAGGTAAAGGGAAGTCGCAATGATAATAATCGAAAAAAGAACGAGAAGAATACAGTTAATGAATTGATAAAATTCTTTAATTTTTGATTAAATTAATTGAAAATGAATTAGAATGTGAAACAGCTCAAAATTGTCTGTTCCAAAATAAAATAATGAAAAATATTTGGCGAATATAATTTGAAACAGTTTATCCCGAAACTTACTTATTATATACTTAATTAATTAATTGTTAACATTTTGGTTGTGTACTCGATCTGGAATTGATTCACGGACTTGGAAAAGCCCATGAGCCAGTATGGTGAATTCCTTTGCATGAAAGCAAGCAATTTCAATTAAAAACCAATCGGAAACCACATCTGCAGGTGATTAAGCAGAGCATTCCCGGCTGTAGGCGGTAGTTGTTCGTCCATGGGCCGCGGACACGGGTTGCCTTCATGGACAAGTGCACATGGCATTGGCACTGGCATTGGGACTGTGCTGGAGGAAGGGAGCGGCATAAGATGCACTTGGGAAACACACACATAGCTCCACTTGAGCCAGTTACTCATTACACTCGACTGGATAATTATTTCAATAAACAAGAGCAGAACCGTGTGCTCGGACTTGGCTCGAGCTCGGCATTATGAACTGTTTCCGAACAGTGCGCACATAATACCATATTTCAAATTTCAATTAAGACCGAGTGCTGAGAGAACTCCCCTCCCGACCGACCTGCCATTGTAGGAAAGAGCCCTCGACCAATGGCAGCTCCCAGAACCGTTCGGTTTGATGATCTTTACGTTTCCTATTTGACTTTTGACTTCTCGAAATATAAACATTTTGTTTTATGGCTTTCAATCGATTTGCTCGGTGCGGGCCTAAAAGGGACTCAAGTGCAGGCCCTCGGCGTGTTCTGACAGAGATTTCCATCCACTTGGCCACCGGTACATTGCCAAATCCCTCGCTCAATTATGGGGGATACTCGTACCAGTTCCCGGCCATCTTCCCCTCCTTCTGTGGGAGAGAGCAACTTGGGTTTTAATTAAAAACTAGTTTTTGGTTTGCATTTGAAACGAGCTCAGGCTGGAGACTCCGAATCCGATTCCGATCCGAAGTTGAATCGAATATTTTTTTAATAAACCATAAAAACGTTTCTAAAGTGTCACAGTCAAAATTTGGGGTGTCACATAAATTGTCATGACTTGAAACAAATTCCAGCGATTAAAATCTCAAAATGGACAACATTGACCACCTTCGACATTAGAGGCTGACTGAAAGCCCAGACCCAGGCCCAAGCCCGAAATTGAAACCAAAACTCGGACTGTGACTGGGACTGGGAATGGGACTGACACTGAGATGGGGTCTAGGTCTGAGTGGTTTGTATGGTGCGTATCTGCAAGATACAGATAGCCGGGGATTACATTAGGCAGCACTTGGAGCCCAGTATATACATACACAAATACATACATTTAAATATGTTTTTATGTATTTGTGGAGCAAAACTTTTTAAAACAACAGAAAGCAAACTCGGTGGCCCTTTTGCGACAGAAGACAAAGAAAGCGCTGTTCAAATTTACATTCCATTTCGAAAGAGTTTCTGGCAGCAGGAGTGGAATGGATTGGGTGTGTGTGCGGACTATCGCTCCGCCCCAGGAGTCGTTCGGGCGGGGTGGGGAGTGGGCAGGTGGAGATGGAGGCAGATGGTGACTTTGTGTTGACTTAGGCGGATCCCGCCCGGCCAGCGCAAAGAGTATTTTGCATATTCCATCGATTTTTCGACTCTGAAAACGAGTGCGCATAATAAGCGTGCGAGGGAGATGGGGCAAGCGCAGAGCGACAGAGCTGGAGAGAGAGAAAGAGAGGGAGCTGAATCCCGCTTTTCTGGGTGTGTCTCCGAATGCAGAAGAGAAGCAGGATAAGGAGAAGGAAATGTGTCGCCAGAGAGGGTAATTTATTATCGATTCCCTATCATATTCCTGTCCCCGCCGCAGTTTAGACGCAGTTTCTAGCGAATCTAAGTCCCCGGGGCATAAATCTCGCTAATTTATGGAGGATGCGTGCGAAATGCCAACAAACTAACTCGCCCACGACCGGCTCTCGCTCGGCCCGGACTTCACTTCACTCTGCAGTTACGCCAGCGAATGTTCTGCATATCAAACTCGCGACTGCCACAGCCAATGCAAAACCATGTCCACATCCATGTGCATGTTCATGTCCATGTCCATGTCCATGACCAAGACCATGTCCCAGTCGCAACCGTTGTCTCTGTGACATCTTTCGATTTATTTAACTGGCCATTTCTGTCGCACTTCGACTAACGATTTTCTAGTCAAGTTCGCGTTCCGCGGAGAAATTTATCTGACTCGCCCGACATTCCGACGATCATCGTTGGGCCAGAAGCCAAAGGGGGTCGGGTCTGAGCGGCGCGACTGCGGACGATTTATGCAAATGCCTGGCATATTGATATTGTTATGCCTTTGTAATTGAAAAGCTGGCAATTACCACTTGAAATTTCAGTGTGTACTCTGTCGGCAATTAACACGAATTAGTTTTCCGAGCTCTCCTGGCGCGCTACGGGGAGGTGGGAGCACTAATCGCATAAATGTTTGTATGATAAATTAACCTTCCAATAATTTAGTAAGTGGTTAAGTTACCAATTCTAGACTAAATATTGGTAAGTAAATTAAATAAATATACAATTTTTAATACATATTTAAATTATTAAGGCATTTCGTGAAAGATTTATTAAATCAATTTACTTTTACTATTTATTCTATATTTTTGTTTAGTTACTATTTGTACTATCCTTCATTTAACTGCATAAATTTCATTATATTAATACCTCATTATGACAATATTCCTATATCTTGTATTAAGCTGTATTTTAGCAATATTCGTAGTTGTTGTTAAGTGTCTGGCCTCTAAGAAATAATTGACAAATCTGCCATTCCCGCTGTTGCTTCACCATTAAGCGATCATCGCCGTTAATAATAATTCTGTAATTACGGAGCCTAATGAGCTCACATGCGGGTGAAAATGTCATTGATTACTGATAATTAACAATTATTATTTATAAAGATGTGTTTTTTTGTTGTTGTTTGCGTTTCCTCGAGCTGAGATAGAGCTGGCTCTGGCACTGGCTTTGTTTCCACCGCTCTCTACGCCGACGCTTTGCTCGACCACAGCAAATGAAGTCATAAAATTATTTAAATCTGTATTTAAGTGACAATAAAGCACATTATGTGCATTTAATGATAAGCGGCCATTGCGGAATACGTTTGGTGGAGACGCTTTCCCAGCTTCCCCCGACTGTTTTTTGCTTGAAACATACATATATTACGCGTATGTACATACTGTTATGTATTTACATATATATGTACATATGAAGTTATTATTCTCTTAATGGAAACCAGTACATGGTTGCCCGCAATAAACACCTTGTCATCCGAAACACTTTATTGCTCAAAATTCCCTAATTGCAAAGTCAAATACCTTTATTATTTATTATATTATTTATCGTATTTGATATTTCGATGTTCCTCGATTCGGTCAAGATTTTAGAGTGCTCTCAGAGTCGCTCCAACACAGGTGTGGGCTAATGTATAGAGGCGATTTGACATACTCTAACAGTAGGGATACTCAGCTACAAAGACAAGGCACAATTTTTGTTTATTGAACTCTGTTAAATATTTTTTACAGTTTTCTGTTTAAATAAATCACTAAAATTGAGAGAAATAAGTTGAACCCATGTCCATTTTTTCCGGACATTTTTCCGATCTCAATGTAACTAGCGGATCGATGTTTTTGCATTACTCTGAAGTGCATCGCCCTAGTGTGATTCGACTGCTGGTTTCTTCTTCTCTGGCTCTCCCCAATAAAAATGTGTGATTACGAGCATTTAATGCAATATATTAATTACTGCGCCTTCGCAAACCGATTCCGATGGCGATGGCGATGGCGATTCAGATTCCGCTGCATGTGTCTGTATGTCCCACCCCCCGCTGACGGCCATTGAGCAGATTAAAAACTGGAATAACGTCTTTGTCAGTATCTTCTTGGCTGCTGCCCCGCTGCTGCCGATTCCTTCTCCGATTCGAAGGCTCCGCCATTGACGTGCCTGAACTTTGAAGCTTTTGGTGGCAAGGTGGAAAGGGGCAGTCAGGCAGGGCTCGGGACGACATTCGTTCGCCAATTTACGAGCGACTAATGGCCATAACGAATACACTTTACTGCCTCGTCCATAATCGAATCGCAATGAAAACTGCACAAATCGTTCAATTTCTGTGCGGCAGTGCAGGGGTCCCTGGCAATGCATATTTACATGGTCACACATCGGAGAGGAGCGAAGTCCGAGCCCTGCATCCCACCAGAGCTGGCACTGAATCACTTTTAGGTGCCAGTCATGCATCTTGTGGCTCAGCTTGGCGTATTAGAAATGGGATTAAATGGCCGCAGTTGCCAAATTAAATCATAAAGTCCGAACAAACAAACGGCATTCATATTTCTGTGAAGAATTTCCATTAATGGTCGCTTGCGGCTGACAACCGAAGCCAGGAAGTCGGACAAGCACTCAAGTTGTGGCACGGGGGTTGGGAGCGATGGCTCGGACTTATAGCCATGTTAATGGCTTTTTAAAGCGATTAAGTGAGAAACATTAATGGATGGTCCGAGCGGGTACGGACCGTGTCGAAGGAAGTGTGATCGATTCATGCCCTAAAGCCGCTAGTTGGGATTAAATCATTTTGCAATTAGGCTTTATGCGGAACTCTCCCTATTCCAGTCTCTCGGGACATAGACAAAAGGATTTTACGACTCCGGTGGCTGGACACGCCCATGGGGCGAATCTACATCAAATTCTGTATGATTTATGCACCTTTGATATAATCTCCAGTTACGTATCCGAAGCTCGCATCCAATCAAATGCATATTAGTATTAATTTCTGAAATGCCAATAAAAAGCAAATATTTAAATTCGTATACCAACCCTTTGTTCGTGCGCTCTGTATCTCCGTGGGGAAGTGTAGTTTTTATGGGTATAATCCACAAATGCCATAAAAACACACAACCGCACACACGCCTAGCACACACACACACGCAGATCTGAAACGAGAAGAGAGGAAGCGAGAAGATTTAGTGGGTTTCCATAAAAATATAATTGGAGCTCAAAATATGGTTGATTTGGTAGAAATTATAATTGCCATTTGACGGAGTATTAAAATACATGTTTCAAAATCTTCAAAATCTTACAGGCATGCAAAAGGAATCAGAAACTATCAATATTTAAGTAAAATGTGTCTGGAAACACAATTTAAATTAACTTTTTAGAAATAACCTTTGAAAATCTACATCTACTACTTATTCCCCCAGCCAACCAAGATATGTAATTCCCCCAGCTCTCATTTGGTGGCAACTAATTGAACCTGAACCCAAACTATGAAGTCCGTACAGAAGTCGGTTGCCAGGCCGTCAGGTCGTCAGGTGTGCCCAACGAGCACGAGGGGCACATTTGCACAGCTGAAACCCGTTTGGTTTTACTTTAATTTGAGTTGGAAAATCAATTTGGACAATGTGCTGCAAATTTGCAGCTGGATTTCTCCGGGGAGTCGCCTCCCCGTCTCAGATTTCCACTCAAAACTTTTGCGCTCAAGCTGGAACGAGTTCTCCCCGTGGCAGTGGCATTTCTCTAGACTCTGGAGAAGAAAACATTCCATCACAGCCAGACCGGGAGACGAGACCCTCTGAGGCTGAAAGTCTCCAATGCTGACCAGCTGCCGCAGTCGCAGTCAGCGCTGCAGTCTCTGCCATTGTCTGCGTTGGCGTCAGCGCAGACGTCGACGCCGACATCGTCGTCGTCGGTTGTCTCTGTTGCCGGCGGTGACTATCGCACTCGCTCCCACCAAAATGGCCGTTCTCGCTGCATCTCCCTCGCACTCACCGTCGACTGTAGTGCCCGCTCTCTCTCTCCCTTTCTGGCGCGGCGGCTGTGCGAGCGGCTCAGATGCGACCAGCGCCGTGTGCGCAACAGGGTCCACCCTATGCCGCGACCGAGTGCCACGCCCATCCACCCACTAGCCCAGTCACCCAAGTGTGTGGGGCTGCTGGCTTTCTGCCTCCGACAGTCGGGCGGCTGAGGTCCGCTCGCACCGCTAATCGCCCGCGTTGCCGTCGGGCTGTTGCCGCTGCCGATATCTGTTATCAATTCTCCCGCGGGTGGGAGATGTGGTGTTGCCGGGGAGGGGCACTTGATTCGACGCTTGGCAATTTCCAGTTGATTGGCTGCACTCCTCGAGATTTTCGATATCTTTTCATTGAAAATTTGCATCCAGCCCCAACCCCCGTGGGCGGCGGTTGGTGCAAGGACACTTACTGCAAAAGCATCAGCAGCTGCTGCACTCATCCATGCGCACCCGGCCATCATCTGCTCCTGCATCCATCTCCTCCAGAAGTCCGTATGGTGCAAATGGCTTGAGCTTGTCGATGCGAGCAGTGAGAATGCAGTTTCGCATAATTTGATGCTTGCCAACTGCTGCCCAGGCTGTTCCCTAACCTCGTCTGCCCGCCCTGTCCGCGTTTGTGTCCGTGTCCGTGTCCGTGTCCGTGTCAGTGTCCCTATCCATTTCCCTAGCCCTCTCCGGTTCTGCGGCTGATGGTCGAATGCATCCTGCCAAGACAATGCACGCTCTCATCGCAATCATGGCTGCAATGTAATGGCAAAGGGCCAAGAGCCTGTGTTCTCGTCTTCCTCCTGGGCATCCCTTTCCTCACCATGCGACGGTGGTTGTCCTTCGTTTGAATTGCACTTTTTATGGCATTGCAATTAGGGGTAAGCGCATCGGTGCACACACACACAGACATACAAACTCTCTTGCTCGCAGATAAAGGTTACACAACCAAAGGAGACAGGGAGAGAGGAGCAGACGGATAAGGGTTGTTAATTATCTACCGAGGGGTGAACACTGACACTAACACCAAAGTCGAATGCAGAGAATGATTATCTGAAAATTCCATACTGCAGTTCTCGGGAATGCTGCTACACCAATACTTTTTGCTTGCAACTTGCCCAGAGCTCTATTTCAATGGGGTGCAAAATACGATTCTCAGATATGCTCATACTCTGCGGACAGGGATATGTACATTGACGATGCATTTTGATTAGAAATGAATGTGGTATAACCATTATTATTTCATTTTAGCATTTCCATCTTTTAGCTCGACATAAAATGAATACAAATCTGTACTGTAAAATTGGATTCTTCAGAGTTTTTGCTGACTAACAGAAAAAGAGATTTGGGTTCCTCTCTTTATTTTAACGGCGTTTACAGTAAAATCTTTACCAGCATTGCTTGAACTTCAAAACAAGCGAATGATTTAAATCTCTCAATTTAAGAGTTCAAAACTCAGAATTGAAAACAAGAAAATTGGATCAGTACGGTGCTTGGTGTGACAATAAATAATATTTATTGAACATGTTTATTTGTGCAATAATAACGATTATTTAATGCTCTTCGGTAAATATATCACACATTTATGAATGTAAATACAAAAACCGTTTTAATTAAGAAATGATTTAACGTGGCTTTGACTCTTCAACTTTTTTACACTGATATTATTTTATGGAAAGAAGCGCCCAAATGTCAAGCATTTTTACCATTTTCTTGCGTTTATAAAAATGCTTGAACCAATTCAGGAGAAATTTAATATAAGTCGAGTGCAAAATTTATTATCAACAAACGATTTATTAAATGAGAAACCCCACAATAAAATCTCCAAAGCGGCCAATGCGCCTCAGTCTCAGTCTCAGTCCCAATTCCAGTTCGAGTTCCTGTACCATCCAAAGCCAAAGCGGAATGTGAAGGTGGAGGGGCTGGAGCTGGGGCTGGGTCCGGGTCTGGGGTAGGGTCAAAGGCAGGGGCGGCCGGAGCTGGGGTCGGCTGGCCCATTGTCGTCGTATTTGCGCATTGTGCAGAAGAGTCGTAAAAATTTTTGCTGTCTACGTTCGAAATGAATGGGAAAATGCGAAGCGAGAGGCTGGGAACTGGTTGTTGGATGCTGTATCTAGGATGAAGAGCCGTGCAGGGCGGGCAGGAAGAGATCTGAACGGGAGGTTGGACGCGCGGCCAGCAAACAATTCTTGTAAATTTTACGAGCGCAAATATAATTCAAATGGTCATTAATTGCAACAAGAGCCCTGGCAACGACGACTCCAATGGCCGACGGAGAGAAACCAAACTCTAGATGGGCCGTAGAAGTGGCCCATAAATGGATTTGGGTACGGGTAGCGGTAAGGGCGATGGCGAGGTTGGGGTTATGTTATGTACAACACGAACAACAAAGTCGGGGAGCTTTTTCGAACTGTGCAGCGGTAAAAGCACAGAAGCCAGCCAGCACGTGGCTGTGGATGGGATATTTTCGCGCGAAATTTCCCTATTTCGAGTAGAGCAGCAAAGTAACTGTAACTGTGCTTGGATGAAAGTACCAAAACGGTTAGACAGCTGGAGTCCGTCCACGAGTGTGTGTGTGTGTGTGGCTATGTGGGAAATTTCCCTGCACGTGCGTGTGCCACACACACACAGTGGAGATATTATCTATGACCACGCGGCGTGAAGGGAAGTTAGCTGTGGCCGCTGCGCGCATGAACTGAAACTCAAACCAGCACACACACACACACAAGCGCATGGGGGGTAGACACAGATACGATATACGTGCGCTCACACAGATACTCGACCGGGCCGTGGCTGGATATCTGTGAGATACGCACAGACACAGAAACGGCAGCGCGGCTGCCGTCGCAGTCGCAGCCGGCGACGCCGCCGTCCCAGACCTGAGGCTCAGCGGCGTACAAGAAATCGTCGGGCAACGGCTTCACATTGACGCAAAACGTCGAAAAGCAAACAACCGCAAAAAAAGCCATCAGCTAAAAATAAAACTGCAACTTCAACCAGTGAAACGTTCCCGAGAACAGTGCAAAAGTGTAACGCATCGGTGTATTTCGGTGGTGAAAATGTAGATGAGACCATTTTAAATCGTTTTATTTCGTTAGTTTTCAATAATTTCTCATTAGTTGACTGTGCGAGAGAGTCGGCGGAGCTTTCTTTCCCCGCTTTTGGTTTACTTCACCGTTAAAGCAGAGCCGGAAACAGGTTTCTGCGTGCACGAGTGTGAGTGAGCATGCTTACACGTGTAAACCAGTTTCCGGCCGGCCGCCTTCCATCGGGTGCATCCCACAGATGGATCCCACAATAATGCAAAACGTGTGCTCTCCCTCTTTTCAGATCCATCCATCGGCATGGAGCGACGGCGGGCGGGGGCCCAAGCGACGCCATAAACACCAAATAACAAATTTCCAGCCCATTTTTAGTTTGTCAAGCCAACGTCGCATGTCAAGGTCTTATTAAGCGTTCGAAAACTGGGGAGGTTCAAGTGCCTCGAGCAGCGAGCAACTTCTACTTCTCCAGCTGTTCCAAAGAAAAAGCCCCAAAACAATTTCTATGTGTGTGTTTGTTCATATCTGTGTCTGCTGCTTGTCGCTCTGTCTGTGTGCCATTGACATTGACTTATGGCCGTGATGGTATACCCTACATGGGCGGGGGGTCGCGGGGGGTTCTCGGTTCGACGTCGACCCTTTGACAAAAACTTTGTTTTGTCGCTTTTGTGCTCTGCTCTCTGCGTTCGTTCTCTCGCTTTTCGTTTCACTGCCTGCTACGCACATTTATGGTTTGTTTTGCTCTGACTACACACACACACACACACGCACACACAAGCGTATACTCGAATGGCCTACGCGAAGAAAGAGAAAGAAAGAGATAAAGAAGAGAGAGAGGCAGAGAGGTAGAGAGAGATGGAACGTCGTCTGGGATGATAAACGCTTCTTGCCTTTTTTGGCGGGGTCCATGAATGAAACAATTGCCCTGAATGACTGACTGGCAGACTGGCAGACTAGCAGACTGGCAGACTGATTGCTACCAATTGCCCACTGTGCCATGCGAAGGTCGGAAAGGGTGGGCGTGGTGTGGGCGCAGAGCTGGGGATGGGGAGAGGAAAGCCGCCAGCAATAAACACTTTGCCACGACAAAAGTCTGATGATGGAGACGATGATGAAC